CCTCTCCCTCTCTCCCACTCCCACTCTCCCCTTCTCCCCACTTTTCCTTTCCCTTTTTCATTTTGAGACAACATCTTGCTCTATTGCCCAGGTTGGAGTGCAGTGGCATGATCACAGCTTGCTGCAGCCTCATCCTCCTGGGCTCAAACGATCCTTCCATCTTGGCCTCCCGAGTAGCTGGGTCTACAGGTCTGCGCCACCTCACCTGGCTAATCTTTTTATTTTTTGTAGACACAAGGTCTCACTATGTTGCCGAGGCTTATTGCGAATTCCTAGGCTCAAGAGATCCTCCCGTCTCAGCCTCCTAAAGTACTAAGATTACAGACATGAGCCCTCACACCCTGCCCTGTTTTGAAATTTACTGCATCTAGGTTTCAGTCAGTGGTCATAAAGGGTGTTATTCTGATAAGCGTTCACAGTGGCATTATGTAATCTGGGTGACTTATTTAGCAGTTACTCCAGTGAGCTGGAAATTATTTTCATCAAAGATATTTTGATAAATACATGTTTGTATTTATGTATTATGTATGGCGTGTTCCATCTAGAATGAACACACACACGCGCGTGCGCACACACACGCACACAAAATAAACACATGTTTTCCAGAAATACTTTTGTCTGTTGCCCTGTCAACTTAGTCTGAGGGATTTGGCAATGAGAGCCTATTGATTCTATCTCATCACTACAGTAACTAAGAAAAGTCCAATTTTAGAAGCACCAGCTTCTGTGCCTCTAAATAAAAGTATATTTTAAGGCTAATAACTGTCATTACAGTGAATGAATTAATAATATCTTAATGATAGTATTTACTACCTGTTTATCTGACAAACAATGCATATTTGCTTTCACATAATTGCAGTTTATTGTAAAGACTCACTTTCATTGATGCATAAAAAAATTCTGTTGGAGAAAGTAAAGTCTCATTTTAGGTTGTCTTTTAGTAGTGCTTGAAATTTTTATTGTCATTTGATAAACATACTCATGAGTATATGTTTTTCCATGGAGCCTATTTATTGTGCTAAGGAAGCACAAGGCTGGAAGCCAGTGTAAATCTCCTTTGGTTTCCTCCACTTAGGGATGAATCACATATCAATTTACCTGGAATTTATTAATAAAAATGTGGAAATTATTGTTAATTATTGTTCCTTGTATTTTTCTGGTACCCTCATTATGATGACCAGTTTCTTCTCTCTCTCTGTCTCCTTCTCTCTATATATACACAGATGCATTTTTGTATATCAAACTATTTCATACCATGAAATACTAGTACTTTCACACTGTATATATATAGTTTTCTTTTTCATTAGATTTATTTGTGTATTAACTTTGTTTTCGCCTTAATTAATTGTTTTACATGTCAAGACACAAGATAAATTTTGTTATTTTTATTTTGTCTAGAGATGGGGTCTCGTTCGGTCACCCAGGCTGGAGTGCAGCGATGCATTCGTAGCTCACTGCAACCTCAATCTCCTGGGCTCAAGTGATCCTCCCACCTCAGCCTTTTGAGTAGTTGGGATTACAGGCGTGTGCCACCAAGCCCAGCAATTTCCATTTTTATACCTCACATTATTTCTGGTTATATACTTCTGTTGAGAATCGATGGGTAAATTAATTTATAAACTGATTTTTATCAGTTACTGAGAATAGTTTGATTTCACTGATAATAAATTTTATTACATAAAATGTGATGCTTTGCCTTGAATTTTTATACAAGTAATGCTTTTTAAAATAAAAATTACCTCCCCAAACATGAAAATATATAGAATAAAAAATAACATCAGTCCCTTTATAATAATTTAATTTTTAATTGTTTGCCCTTGTACTGTTCTGCCACTATAATATATCCCTGGAAAAAAATTTTTTTAGGGAACAAGAGATGGTAGAAATTAAGGTTTTCCTACCTTAAAGAAAAGCCTCACTCCGAAACCAAGAATGGTTTAGCCTTAGTTTTGATGAGCTTTTCAGTTGTGTTCTTGATATAATTATTTGGTGAATAGATTCCTTCTCTTACTCCAAAGTAGACTTTATGTATTGGATACCAAATAAGTAGTAGGTTTAAGTAACAAAAAAAAGAAAGAAAGAAAGAAAAGAGACAATGTTTTTGGCACACCAGAATAAGTCTAATATATTGGTCCCTATTCTGCTGCCTGTAATTTAGGGTAAGAGATTGAAAGAATTGGCCCAAGGCAATATATAGTCTCTGATCCAAGAATTATTCTTAAAACTTATTTTTTTCTTCCCCAGAGGAGAAGCCAAAACCAGATCCAGTGTTAAAGTCTCCTTCCCCAGTCCTTAGGCTAGTCCTCAGTGGAGAGAAGAAAGAACAAGAAGGCCAGACATCTGAAACTACTGCAATAGTATCCATAGCAGAGCTTCCTCTGCCTCCATCACCTACCACTGTTTCTTCTATTGCTCGAAGTACAATTGCTTCCCCCACCTCTTCTGCTCTCAGTAGCCAACCACTATTCACCACTGCTATAGATGACAGATGTGAACTCTCATCCTCAAGAGAAGACACAGTTCCTGTACCCAGCCTCACATCTTGCACAGAAACATCAGACCCTTTACCAACAAATGAAAATGATGGTGATATATGCAAGAAACCATGTAGTGTAGCACCTAATGATATTCCACTGATTTCTAGTACTACCCTAATTAATGAAATAAATGGAGTTAGTGAAAAATTACCAGCCACGGAGAGCACTGTGGAAATAGTAAAACAGGAAGTATTGCCATTGACTCTTGAATTGGAGATTCTCGAAAATCCCCCAGAAGAAATGAAACTGGAGTGTATCCCAACTCCCATCACCCCTTCCACAGTTCCTTCCTTTCCTCCAACTCCTCCAACTCCTCCAACTTCTCCTCCTCCCACTCCAGTCATTGTTCCTGCTGCCGCCACTACTGTTAGTTCTCCGAGTGCTGCCATCACAGTCCAGAGAGTCCTAGAGGAGGACGAGAGTATAAGAACTTGCCTTAGTGAAGATGCAAAAGAGATTCAAAACAAAATAGAGGTAGAAGCAGATGGGCAAACAGAAGAGATTTTGGATTCTCAAAACTTAAATTCAAGAAGGAGCCCTGTCCCAGGTAAGCCATTCTGCTGTTAGTCTCATGCTTGCTGAACATGAAGAAGAGGCAGTGTTTGAGTTATTTTTTAATTGGCTACTTTCCTTGACTTCCAGAAACATCGAATGAATGCTGAAATTCCTAGTCTGGTTTCTTCAGTGGTGTGTTTGTGTTTTAGTACAACCTGCAAAAGAGTTACTCCATTGTCTAAAAATGCAAATGAGAATTTCCAAATATACAAAATGCCTCCAAGGTATATGTCATGAAACATGTTGGGTTTTATTGTTGTTGTTGTTGCTGTTGCCTCATTCATATGAATCAGTTTCTCAGTGCTTAACTCTGCTGCTTTGGGGCTAGAAAACAATCAAAACCAGGATGGTCTATAGTCCCTAAAACTGTCTTCCCAGAATTTTAAAACCCAGTCAATCCTAAACTTAAAGGAACTCCTCTATGCATGACCTCTTTTTAAATCTTGGATGTAGGACGATAGCAATCAGAACATCAAAGGTTTATAACTATTTTTGAAAATATAATGCTCTTGTTGATTCACTTGCAGGTAAGCTTAATGTTCTCTCACTTTGCCTTTTGAAACCGTTTTATTTTTTGTGTACAGTTTTACCTGGTCAGTAATATCCTTGGAGTATTATAGTCTTCCCAGTTCAAATTATTTGTTTTTAAAGTAGCATCACCTGGGACCTTAGGAGCTAACCATTGGGTTATTGTAAGTTTAATCAAAAGTTATCTAAGGCTTATCAGCTATTCTCAGTTAGCCCTTAGGAATATTGAAGTTTTGGCTTTGAACAATTCAGCACAGCCTATCTTCTTCAACATTGTCCTTTGCTATATAATTTCCTTTCTCTATGCCTGTCAGATTAAGTAATACATATGTAAATTGGGCTTTTTGATAAATGAGTGCTCCTCCAGCAGTTGATTCTTAACATGCAGTGGTAGGTTTTGGTCACCAACGTCCTCAGTATTTTGTCTATTTTGAGGTGTGTAATAAGGAAATTTGACAAACCCAAAAACTGATCCCTACGTTTTAGATGTGGCTTTTCTACCCAGCTTTGTTCTTGAGACAATTTCCTCATCAGTGTCTGTAAGAGGTGTCTAGCCTCTTGGAACTGTAGAAAATCTTGTAGAACAGCATGAGCCAGAGCAGAAAAGAAAACAATGCAAGGCAATTGGAACAGTGAGAAATTTGTCATAAGTCTTTGTAAATTACCTGTTTCTTCAACTGTCTGTCTTCCATTGACATCAGTATTCATAGTGCCATCACAAACAGTGGACCTTCTTCCTTGGTGGAGAGATGACCTTAGACCTTGTTTTGTCAGCTAGAAGAACAACCTTGGGGCCGGGCGTAGCGGATCACGCCTGTAATCCCTGCACTTTGGGAGGCCAAGGTGGGTGGTTTGCCTGAGCTCAGGAGTTCGAGACCAGTCTGGGCAACATGGTGAAACCCCGTCTCCACTGAAATACAAAAAAAAAGCCAGGCGTGGCGGTGTGGGCCTGCATTCCCAGCTACTTGGGAGGCTGAGGCAGGAGAATTGCTTGAATCTGGGAGGCAGAGGTTGCAGTGAGCCAAGATCGTGCCACCGCACTCCAGCCTGGGCAACAGATGGAGACTCCATCTCAAAAAAAAAAAGAGAAAACAACCTTGGTTTTGGTGTGGCTGTAGGTCAATGCCCTCCAAAGAACACCTGTTTGTTGGAGAACAGCAATTTGTTTGACACTTCATTGTTCATTTTCATTTGCAGTGATATGATAGTTACAAAAATGAGAGAAACTAATGAACAAAAAAGTTTTTAAAATGTAAAAACAAAAACAAGACAATCATAGGAAATATAAGTTGAAGATACAAACCGTACCTCAGAATTGAAGTAAGTGTAAAGTGAAAAGACCATGCATCAAAATCGTACTTCACTCATTTCTGACATTTATGCTTTTTTAAAAATCAGTTTGCCACTTAGATGGCCTGATATTGCAAGACAGTGCCCAGGGATGGATGGGCAAACAGACTTTTGGTTTAAATAATGTTCATACCATGGTACATTTGTTTGAAATGCAGATCCTCTCAATATTAGTATTGTGATCACCAGCACCTTAATCAAAGAGTATAGATTCTTCAGTGGTAATCCAGAGAGCACTTAGAAAAGAAAGAACTGTTGTTTTCATGACTTGGAGTGACATAGAGGTTTGTGATGTTGGGAGGTAAAGTTTCTTGGCATTTTTCTAGTCTCATGATTTTTTAACCTATGTGTTTAAGGGAACTACAAGTTTTATAATTTCCTTTTACATCTTAATTGTCTTAATAGTCTTCGAAATCCAACAGTAAATG